GTTGCCAAACCACTCTCCATCATATTTGACAGGTTGTGGCAGTCTGGGGAGGTCACCACCAACTGGAAAAAGGGGCAACATCACCCCCATTTTTAAAAAGGGGAAAAAAGGAAGACCTGGGGAACTACAGGCCAGTCAGCCTCACCTCTCTGCCTGGCAAGACGATGGAGCAGATCCTCCTCAAAACCATGCTAAGGCACATGGACAACAAGGAGGTAATTGGGGACAGCCAACATGATTTCACCAAGCGCAAATCATGCCTAACCAACTTAGTAGCCTTTTATGATGGGGCTACAGTGTTGATGGACAAAGGGTGGGCAACTGATATTGTCTACCTGGACTTGTGCAAGGCATTCAACACTGCCCTGCATGATGTCCTTGTCTCTAAAGTTGAAGGACATGGATCTGACAGGTGGACCACTCATTGGATAAGGAACTGGCTCTATAAACGCACTCAAAGAGTTGCGGTCAATGGCTCAATGTCCAGGTGGAAACCGGTGACAAGTGGTGTGCCTCAGGGGTCGGCACTGGGGCCAGTGCTGTTCAATATCTTTGTCGGCAACATGGACAGTGGGACTGAGTGCACCCTCAGCAAGTCTGTCAACATCACCAAGCTGTATGGTGTGGTTGACACACTGGAGGGAAGGGATGCCATTCGGAGGGACCTTGACAGGCTGGAGAGGTGGGCCTGTGTGAACCACTTGAAGTTCAACAAGGCCAAGTGCAAGGTCCTGCATGTGGGTCAGGGTAATCCCAAACACAAGTACAGGCTGGGCAGAGAGTGGCTCGAGACCAGCCCTGAGGAGAAGGACTTGGGGGTACTGGTGGATGAGCAGCTCAACATGACCCAGCAATGTGCGCTTGCAGCCCAGAAAGCCAACCGTATCCTGGACTGCATCTACATTTAAAAAAAATTACAATATAGAAATACACATTAACAGTAATGTGGAACAGAGCATGTGTGTTCACATTCCAAGAATTCACTACCCAGGAGGTTTCCTTGCTCACTTACACTAAAGCAGATGCTAAGAGTGCTTCAATTGGCTGCAAATTGTTGTACCAGAGGGATGCAAATAACTGAGTTGGGAGTATGGGTTGTGCTGCGGCCAGTCACTCTCATGTCCCTCGATAAGCAGCCTAAATTTCTACTGCAAACATAAGAGAACATAGAAAGAAATTGTCTCAACTGCAGTGCAACTCCCTCTGTATAAGCCTACAGTCCACTAAGCATTGAAAGAAATGCCGTAGTGTACGATGATTCTTTGATAGCTCTTCCCTTGTCCACTGTTCTAGTCATGCCATCATAGAAAGCCAGTGGGGTGGTCAGGCAGGACTTGCCCTTGGCGAAGCCATGCTGGCTGTCTCAAATCATCTCCCTGCCCTCCATGTGCCTATGTGCCTTAGCACAGCTTCTAGAAGGACCTGTTGCACTATCTTTCCAAACACAGAGGTGAGGCTGACAGGTCGGTAGTTCCCACGATTCTCCTTTCTACCCTCTTAAAAAATGGGTCAATGTTTCCCTTCTTCCAGTCACCAGGGACTTCACCTGACTGCCGTGACCTTCCAAATATCATGGAGAGTGGCTTGGCAACATCAGCCAAATTCCTCAGGACCCTGGGATGCATCTCGACAGGTCCCATGTTCCTCAGGTGGTCATGAACCAGACTTTATTAATAGTTACGTATGTAATAAAAATCGTTTTACCAAACCCCACTGATCAGAATAAAAAGATCTCTTGCTGTACATCAAGTAATGAGTGCTTAAAGAAAAAAAAAAAAAAAAAAAAGACATCGTGCCCCCAGAGCACACAGAGAAAACACCTTCTCCCTCCACCCCCCCACCCCCTCCAGGAAACAC